TACATATTCAGGAAATCGAAAGTGTGGCTTTCCCTCTCTTCCCCCGCTGTAACTGCTCACGCAAATGCACCTAAATTTGTACACACACAGTTAGAGCTAAATTGAGAGGAGTATTTGGCAACTTTTGACTGTAAAATGGAGCATGTTATCTAATAAACGGGAACCAAATCAGCTTCAGGATAAGTTCTAGCTAGCGAAGTACTCAGTATTCTGTTTACTATTCCTGAAATATTATATCAAATTTAAAATTTAGTTAAATGAAGACAGGTTTCTTTCCCACCATGATTTGTTTAGTATTTCAGCTTTCACATTTCCCGTACTTGTCAATAAATTTCTCAGAGTAGCCCTTTTTGAGGATCAGAAATTCTTCTCCTAGTTCTTTCATGTAGGGCATATTCCCCCGATTCTATTAAAGAGAATTTTAACCAGTGCATATCTATGAATAATTGGACAAAAACTACAAGAATGTATTGTCCATTCCATTTCGGCTTTCGGTAAACCGGTCTCTGATGACTGTCATCCTACAGGCGTCGCATGGTGATGTCAGACATGGTGTTTCCTGTTTGTGTCGCCTTCTCATTAAGCCTTCAGAAAATCAAGTTTCGGGGATTGTGAAATTTAGTCACAAACTAGAGTGAAACTGATGTTTTCTAGTTTTTTTTTTCTGTCTGGGTGTTGGTCATTGGTGAAGTCTGCACTGAAAATTATTTGAATAATTTATCAGTAAAATCTGTGACTTTATTAGTAACCAAATACAGACAAAAATCTCCTGGAGGTGATAGGTGATAAGATGGTCGGTTAACTTGTCTGAGATCTGTGTTCAATTCTCGACCGATGCATCACGAAACCTCGTATAGTTTACCAATTGGTAAGAAGCCGGGAAAAAAAAGGAAGGTTGGGCAGAGTTTCTAGCTTTACACCAAAACTTCCTTCTTTTCCGAGTTATATGTGTACTGACACCTAGTCACACAGTAAGCTCGAGCAGAACTACAGTTTTAAAAGGTGAAACAGTTATGGGAGTGTAGAAGTTAGTCTTTTTCTTTTACCGAATCTACGCTAAATAGGCCTTCAGTGGGAATGAGATGACGTTGATACTAGAGCGCTATGAAAAGTATCATTACCAATCAGATCAAAGATTAGGAAACGATAGGACTGCCTAGAAAAAATTCACTCATCACTTACCGACCACAGGATGGAGTCCCTAGAGTTTGGGAGAGAAGTTGTGGCCAACAGAGTCCAAAAGGTTAAGTGTGGAGATGAGTATTCACTGGTTACAATGCTCGAAGGTCAAGAATTGTCTGCCCTCAGCATGAAGAAAAGAGTTCAGATTTTCAAAACCAATGTTAAGTCAGTCATTATTCCTATATGGGGGTCAGAAACTTGTCCAATGTATCACCAAAAGCATTCCCTAAAAAGCTGCTGAGTATTCTTGTTAACAGCTAGCTACCTTTGCTCAGTAATGTATACTAGATTTCCAGAAAGGATCAGCGACAAGGAACTTCAGGAACAAACTGATCTAAACAAACAATCTGCTGCCCAAAACCTATGATGCAGAAAATAGAGATGGATGGGACACAGACGGTTGAATACCATCAAGCGCCAGGCGACTCCTCGAGTGGCTGCCAAAATGGGAAAAGGTGAGTTGGAATCGGGTCTGCAGATAACAGAATCAAATGGAGATGCCCTCCTGAATCCCTATTTTCCACTCACAACCCAATGTGAATAATAATAATAATGTAATAGAACTGGTGGGCTATCGGATTCTATTCCATTTGTCAAACTTAAAACTAGCTGGACTCATAATCTGAAGATTCTTGGCGCTCATTGTCGAATAATCTCAAACTAGGGCGAATTGACCTCCAGAAACACAATGGTTTTTGACAGGTATTGGTTTGCGACAAATTCTACTCTAAAATTAATTCATTTAGCCACAAAATTCATAATCCAACTGTTCGTATTATCTTAATGGTCGACCTGGTGGATCCTACCACCGGTCACGACTTCTTCAACTTTGTCCTGAATTTAATCACTAGTGGACAGCAAATTGATCTTCATTTTCGAAATAAATCAGATCTCTAAACAGACTAACTCTTGAAAATTATTCTGATACTTGTTAGCGACTGCTTACAGGATCTAAAGTTGGCTGGGGTTCTAGTGAAAGTTGTGGTCACTTGGGTCCACCACAAGTCAGGTGTAGCGACAGAAACGGACTTGTGATAGTGGCAGTGGTTGCGAATCAGTAGGAGCTGGAATTCACAGGCTGACTGACCATTGAGTCAGGTCCTGGTGCTTGTATGATACACAAGCCTGACTTGTGACCGGAAGGTCCTACGTTCGAATCCTGGTGAGCGGTCACCGATGAAGAGTCATAATTACTAGAACAAAACAGGTGTCCACTAGTCTCTGGAGGTTAGTTAGTATGGCTTCAGTGAGACAGCGATAGAATGCTCGTCAACCACGAAAGGTGGTCAGGGGTTTGATCCTCGGCTGATGCACTCCTTTACCTTGTTAAGCCAGTAATAGAACTATCAATGAGGGAAGGTTGGGCATGAGGCTACCAAACCTACAGCTTAAAAATTAACACAAAAAACTTCAAGCCTCTAGCTTGAAGCCCTATATACCACCGGGAACGTAAAGGAATGTTTTAAGAAAAATTGGTATCAATCCTTGATCGAACATGAAATATTCATATTCTCATTGAATTCAAGGCAATCTATTGGATTTTTGTGAAGACGTTGTTTCCTTTTCACGACGAAATGCTTTAAATATTTCATTGTTAGTGAAAGGTAACTGACCTACAGACATGATATACTATCACGAAATAGTCAATTATTATTATGACATGATAAAATGTACATAATATTTTGTTTTTAGCGCTTGTTACTATGGTTATTATTATGATTATGCAGCCGCACCAGGGTCATTCATTGCGATGTAATCACCATTGCGATTACGTAATCGGATAATAATACTAATTATCATTATTATCATTAATTATGTTAACTGCATCTAATCGAAAAAGCAAGAATGTAAGTCAGGCTGGCCAGCTGCACTAGAATTAAGTATGATTTATAGCAGATAAGCCTGGATGCATGAATAATAACGAGCGATTAAGTCAATTAAATTATTACTGGTCGTATTAGTAGTAGCATTGATGATAGTACTTGTGCCGGTATGTACTGTATCGCATTCACGCTTTCAAATACCTTGATTGACGCATATATTAATAATAACAATAACGACAATAATAAACAATTCAATAATATAAACTATGTTTATCACCTACTGCATACCAATAAAGACACAGGTTCAGTTAGTAAGCACAAGTTGATAAGTTGACATTGTCTACATTGGAATAAATAAGACGTATATTATTGACATAACTATCGGAGACTTACAAATACACAGACAAATAGAGATACCATGTTTACCTTCTTTATTGTTTATTCGTCAAATACCTTAATAATATTGATATAAGAATAGAACTTGTGCACTGTGGTGGTAAAGTATAATTCGATTATGGGTAAAATTTGTCTTCATAAAGTCTCACAGTGTTGTTATACAGTAATGTTTACTGATGACCAGGTTTCGAGCACAATTTATTACCCTGCTCATAGTTATCATATCAAGGCAATACTCATACAACTTTCTAAATTCAATTATATAATTCCATTATTTTTCACTGCTTGACTCGATTTGTAGTAGTATTCTCTATATTTCCGGTATGAGTGGTGAGTTATTCCTGTGGCATATGTTGGGTGTAGACTCGATGAACAAGGATTCAGTAATCAACCTCTCTCTCCACCTACCTATATTACTTTTTAGAATTTTAACCCTCTCCCACCATGCTATTGTGTGGTTATGTGTTGATGCATGCAGTGCGATTGCTGAACTTTTTTCTGAATTACTTATTTTCTCGGGGTCAACGATTCTTGCCTTAGCTAGATGATTATCTAGCCACTGGGACTATATTCAATGTCGAGGCGATGAATTCCAGCTTTCTGCAATTCGTAACCACCGGTCAATGTTACCGACAAGTAACTCTACTCTTTTCTAACTTAGTGGAGCCTACGAGTTACGAATTTCACTAGAACTGAAGGTAACTCCTGGTTTCGAGCCAATCGCTGGAGGATTAGGATTTTCTATCTAAAGTGGGTTGACAGACTGCTTTCGACTACAGAGTTTGTTATTGTGAGTGAGTTTATAGGTGTACTGATGTCACAACGGTACCAATAAAGGGATAATGTCTTATGAGTATGTGTGTTATATCAAATAAAATTATTCTGATGAATGATGATGATTTCTGATGAATCGTCTCAATTCAATCCATGATGCAATTTAAAACAACCATAAGTAAGCAGAAAGTCTTATTTTTACACTGGCTTCCTTATTCCTTGATTTGTAATTCCTTTACGTTTTGAGTTGGACATAGAAATTAAAGCTCTGAATTTTCAGCAGAAGTGGTGTCGTTTTATCGCGAGGTGAGGTTGCTAGCCTCATGCACAACCTTCGCTCTTTTCTAGGCTCACCACCAACTAGGTGAGATTTTTGGGATTACTTTGGCTAGGATTTGAACCAGGATCTAGGTCATGGGTTGTGAGTATTCTACCACCACCTAATATGCCTGTGAAATAGGTTCTGCCTAGTGAGATATTTATTCCTCTGTTGATTACTATGACAACAGTGTCAGCTAATCAGTCCACCCAAGTGGCCAGCCGAAAATTGGGTAGTTTGAACTGATCTAGTTGTCTCATTAAAGTCTCTCCAACTACACTGCTGATAACCTCGGCTCCGAATAATCGAAAGAGCCGTCCTGTGTAAAGATCACTTTGGTCTGCCTAGCGAACACCACTCATTTCCACTTATCAGTAGTAGGTACGATCATGTGGAATTTAATTTATTCACTTGTTTTAAGTAGTTTATGAATCAGAAAAATGATAAACTCTTAATTATTTTGATTCAATTTCATTTTCAAATGTGATTTTTGTTTTTATTTACAGCAATTTCGTGCTAATGTTACTCTGAAATTTGGTCTTAGTAATGATTTTAATTCGGAATGTGATGAAACAGTTTATAAAGTGGTAGTGTGCGCTGGAGAATTCACTAATCGGTAAGTAATAGATGCCATGTTTTTCAATTTTATGATTTATCCTAGTATTTATAATTCTGTGAAAAGGGAATGTTGATGACAGACTGGTCAAACTCTGCTGAGTGGTTAGATGATTGGAGGCAAACACCGAGGAGTTGGGCTTTTTGACACTCACCAGTTATCAAGGCGTTTCTGCAGTTTTGAAGGAACTCATGTCCCCCCCACCAGTCTGCGAATAACAATAGGTCAAATGGAAATCACTAGCTAGTATCGCCTTGTGTCCAACCAAAGCACCTAATACAGTTCTACCGAAGATCTATCAAGAGTCTAAATAGCTCAAAGGTAACACCTCTGACTTCAGCACTGGATAACATAGATTCGAGGCTCACAAGCGACGTGATTCCCCTCTAGACTAAAGATACACCTTGCTGACTGATGGTCACCAACTAGCAGGAAGTTCAGTTGAGACAGGGCTTCGTTCCGAGTGCTTCTAACCATCTAATGACAATAATTCAGAGTGAACCTTAACGGTGTGTCCGCCATATTGCAAGCACGAAAGAAAGAATGAGATGCATGACGCCAGTTAATACCTAGTATTCAATCAAAGTGTGTTTCGATTGAATGGCAAATGTTGATGAGTATACTTCGTCAAATGATTCAACGTTCAGAAGTTTAGACAACCCTTTAGAGAAGACAAGAAACAAAAGGCTTTCTATGCAGTTGTATTTTCCTGTTGACAAAATAAACTGCTATCGTTTTTCTGAAGATGTTATTTTATATGCTACTTATATCCATTCATAACTTGTACACGCAGCTTAAGAAGGGGAAAAGATGTGAAGCTCCATTTCATCATATTATTACTATTGCTCGCTTGGGTTCCTAGTGGAACATAGGGCTTCAACTCCAAGTCTCCACTTGCCACTTCTGTCTTCCTTCTGCTGTACTTTCCACCTGCATCTGTGTTAATCCATACTGTTTCAACTCCTCTCTATTCACACAATCTCCTCCATGTCACCCTTGCACTGACGTCCCAATCGCCGCTTCTCTTTCCGGTTCCACTCGAGCAATCGCCTAACGCGCGCGCGATGTCACCAAGCGGCCTACCTCCTCAACGAGTGAGTGTCCAATCCATCAATCTCCACTTTCTCCTGCATATTTGTTGGTTGGCGATTGGTTCTTATTTTGCTTGTCTGTTCCCATAGTTTCTTGTTGGTGGTGATTCTTTCCGGCCCGGCCATCTGATCTTCAGTATAGAACCAGCGAAGACAGTTGTTGGTTGATGAAGGTCTGCAACAGGCTGTTGGAAATATTCTTTGTGACCCGCCCACCAAGTTTCTCATCCGTATAGAAAAATTGACTTGACGTTCGTAATGAAAATCCTACCGAATTTTGTTACTGATGCTGGCTGAGTGACGAAGATTTCCAGATTGATTTCAGGTTGATGAATGTGTTTTTCGTCGGTCCAGGATATTCCTGTCTTCTCATTTCCCACTGTCTGACGCATAATCCAGCCAGTCCACCACAATTAGGAATATCATTCATTGGTGATAATAAGCACCCTTGCCTGACACATGTGTTTGCTCTAAACGCCTCACTGAGTTTTCCGTTGTGGATCACTTGACATGTTCGGTTGTTGTACAGCTGTTGAATAAGGTTGATGAATATTTGGGGTACGCCGCAGTACTCGAGCATTTCACGATAAGTGATGCCAAATACAGGAATGCCGAAAGCAGAACAACACTTTCAAGAACCAGAATAAAGTTTTCTTAACAGTAATTCAATTACTGTCGTACCTGTGGGTGTTTTTCATATCTTGTTTTCCATCTGGAATATAGGGCTTCATGCTTTGAAGTTTCAGTAAGAATGACATCGCTTCTACGAGATGGAGTTACTTGTCTCACATTTAATGTTAGGGACCTGTCGCCATTTGACATGACCTTGTTGACGGGCGGTATGATCGAGTAAGTGCGTCAGTGGCGCAGAGAATGAACGCTTGCCAGCTACTTAGGTGGTTCGAGGTTAGAACCCCCACCGACGCGCTCTTAAACCTCACTTAGGTGGTATAAAGCCAGGCAAAGAGGAAGAGTTGGGCGTAAGACTAGCAATCCCACCTCGTAAAAATAAAACCACTGCTACCGAAAATTCAAGTTTGGACCTTGAAGCCATACTTTCCACCTGGAACGTGAAGGAACAAAATGATAGTAATAGTGGCAGAGTGGACTGATATGTTGGTATATTAATAATGATGAAATGGACAAGTCAATTAATATGCTAGATACGCTTATTCATCCGTGGTACTTTGCGCTTCACTGACCTGCATAAATTTTAAAAGACAAAGACTGGCTTGTGACTGGTAAGATATGATTTTTACTGGGAAAAGCTCATCATATTTACATATTTTTTACCACATAAGAATCAGCTTAAGGGAGTAGAAATGGATTGTTCCGATTGATTGATTATTTGGCTAAAGTAGGCGAAAATAAATATTCTGATTGGTTGGAGATCTAATGAAGATCGAAGTGAGAAAAAGATGATACCATTTTATAATCATACGATCACACCATGAATCACATGATGAGACATAAAATGACTACTATTTTAAGCTGATTCCTGTCAGCCGATCTCCCCTCTTTTCCACGTAAACAGATTCAAGAGTGTATCGACGATAAGTCGAACAAGGACTTGTGGCATAACTGGTAAACATTTTGCCACTTTAAAATACTGACGCTCGTATTCATGCTAAATGTTGATAAATTTCATTTTCATGAGTTAGCTTATGGCGACTTGCTTTACTTCACATGTGTCAGTTAAAAAACCATTTAAAACCAGGTAGTATTCAGCAGCTGGTTCATACTACTTTTAGGCTCTTCAACAGTGCTCATCCATCGGCTTCTGAACACAAAACCTTCCGTTTATGAGCCAAGCTTAACTATGAATATCAATCCTCAGCTCGCCAGTGGCCAGCTATGGAACGAAGTTCATTGGCGTTCTAGTGAGATGTCATGACCAGTCAGGTCCACCAAGTCACAATTGTAAGGACAAATACTCACCGATTAGACTGGATGGTGGTCGCGATTATATCACGAATTGGTAGGAAATGGAATTTATGAGTTGGGCATTGGATAGGATTTCAATGACTGAAATGTCTCTAAACTTGAGTTGTAGCCGGTACTGGGTTCGAACCCTAGTAGGTTGATACTGATCAAAAGTCATAGGTCTTCTGACGAAACATTTGTCCAGTACTCCCTTTCATTTCTTGGTGGCTCTCTAACTGATATCCATTCGTGATCAAATATTTTCATAGCGATTATCTTCAGATGACTAGAAGAAACTAGGAACAAGTAACACTCCTGGAGCAAACCAATCAAGAATCTAACACACAACAGTTATGCTGAAGAAAATGGAGGTGAATTGAACATGCGCTAAAGAGACCGTTGGATGACATCATTTCTAATGCAGACGATCGATCGAAGGGATTTTAATAAGAAAAGTTGATCTGGGCGTGAGTTTGATGTTGATATGGAGGAGATTCTGAAAGGTGAAGAGGATAGCTGATAGGCAATAGAGGATGCAGCCTTATATTTCACTGGAAGCGATGAGAAATAAGTAAACTACATCACTAAGGGATAATAATAAATAATAATAATTTTTCCTTCACGTTCCCCAGTGGAACATAGGGCTCCAAGCTAGTGGCTTGAAGTTTCTGTAGCAGAGTTTATTTTAGAGGATGGGGTTGCTAGCCCCATACCCAACCTTTCCTTTTTACCAGGATTATTTCTGGCCTAGCGAGGTAAAGGAGTGCGTCTGTGGCCGGGGATCGAACCATGGTCCATGTGCATGGTCGGCGAGCGTCCTAACCGCTATACCACTGACGCACATCACTAAGGGATAGTAAAAGTCTATTTTATGTTCATCGTTACCTCAAAAATGATTATAAATCTATTGAGAAGAAGCCTCTATATATTAGAGTACAATTCAAAGTGATGTATGTATTATTCTCTATTGTTCCTCTTTAGTTTTTCCAGGGCTGGCTACTGAAGAAAGACTATACCTTATTACGCAGGATGTTAAAGGTTTTCAGCAGGGTAAGCCACAGAGTGCCACTTAACCAGTTTGTTAGTATTCTGGTCGACAGGCACTTGAACTTATGTGAAAAATGGGCAAAATCCATTCCACCTAACTCACATCACCCTCTTCATTCACAACTCTCCCCCTTGTATCTCATCAGGCAGAACCAGAAGCCTATATAGAAAACTATATGCTCGCACTAGCAGCAAGTACAAAATCTCAACCATACCCTACTTAGTTCGTGTTCTGGGCGATAAAGAAAGCCATTAGACGTGAAACCTTTAAATTATAAAATAATCAGTAGAACAACTGGATCTCGTCTTTCCAACTCATATCATTTATAGGTACAACGTTTTCTTTCTCTCTTTTCCCTTTCTCTCTCTTTTTTCTGTTATGTGCTGCTTTGTTTCTCTCTTCCTTACAAACTCTATTTGAAACATTTGTCTTCGTTCTTTCACACTCCGTATATCTCGACCTTTTTGTTACCGCTTACACCAGTAAATATGCTAGCATCTACTTTTCTAACACCTTCAAACACTGTGTGTAATTTTGGCTTTGCTACCGATATGCTAATATGTTGTCGTCAAAATTAACTGAGATTACCCTTAATCTATGTAGAATTTTATTTCATTGTTAATTTACTAACTGGATGCAATACTGTAGTGAAACGCTGAGAATTCCATTCTGTATCACAAGTACTGTTTTGGAATAAAGCAAATTATTATTACCGAGTGAAATGTTGACCGAAAAGTTGATAAAATCGATGAAAATCAATGTTCAATGCCTGTAAGCAGCAGCTTATATTTTCCATACACAATCAGTTGTGATCCCGAAACTGAAAAACGAATTACCTTATCCAGCCACCTCTTCGTTTTCATCTGTCAACTCACCTGCTCCTCTGGAGTCAGTTATATTGGTCGTTACCCTAGGAACTTAATTTTTCATGCTCGGGAACACCATCTGATATGGCTAAATAAAGGTGTTACTAAAACCACCAACAGTTCGATGTTAATTAGATCACCTCGTCCAACACAGACTACAAAGCTAACTGACATTCAAGATTTCTTCTCTGTCTCCTATCAGGAATCGAATAAAATATCGAAGGCCTCAAGATACTGGACAACCCAAACACCAAAAGGCAAGTGTAATTTGCCTAAATCAACCAGAGTTCTGTGTGCAAAAGAAACAGGTTCAGTCACAACTGCAACATTGGACTGCTATGGGACCTATAAATTCATTAATTCCGTATTACTTTCATCAATTTATCTGATACCTGGTTTAGTGTTATAATGATGTGTATTATCTCTTCCTGATGCCTTCGTACTGTAATCCATCTATACTACTGATTTGCCATTATCTGAAAGGATATTAATTGGTATAAAATTGGTGGATGGTGGCTAGCAGTGGAATCAAGGATGCGCATTTCGTCCTATTTAGGACTCGTCAGCTGGATGTACCTAAATTTCTCAGTGAGTGATGATGTTCCCACCGAGGCTCGAACCCAGTACCCATAGTTTCAAACGCCAAAGCGTTATCCACTAGACCACTTGGGCCACAAGAATCACCTATTGTGCAACGGGTCATATATTAATTATTGAATTGAATTTTTGATTTTCCCGTCGATTGATTGGACCAAAATGCTCAGTCTCAGGTTGACATATCGGCTTCTTGTGCAGATAATTCGACGATGTCCGGGAATCTAGTTAGTATACAATCGACGGGAAAATTAAGAATTCAATTCAATAATTAATATGACCCGTTGCACAAGAGGTGGTTCTTGTGGCCCAAGTGGTCTAGTGGATAATGCTTTGGCGTTTGAAACTATGCGTACTGGGTTCGAGCCTCGGTGGGAAAATCATCACTCACTGAGAAATGTAGGTACATCCAGTTGACGAGTCCCAAATAGGACGAAATGTGCATCCTTGATTCCACTGCTAGCCACCATCCACCGATTGTATACTAACTAAATGCCCGGACATCGTCGAAGCATCTGCACAAGAAGCCGACATGTCAACCTGAGACCGAGCACTTCGGTCCAATCTATCGAAGGGAAAATCAAGAATTCAATTTAATGAAAGTATATTAATGTTGTTAATAGCAATAAATCTTTTATTAATATGGTTATATGAATGTGGAGTCTGATGACGAATTTATCGAAAAGAAATATCATTTGCTCGCAAAACTGTATTTTCTAAAATTTCAAATTATTTCGTCCGTTTATTTTAGGACTCGAAAACATATAATTCTGTCATGCTATTTTTATTTATTATAGGTGTCAGTTAGTTGGTCCAGTTGCCCGTTTTATTCAGGCTACTTGTGCTTCTCAAGGCCCACCAGAATCATTGAGTTTCTTAGTGTCATCTGTGGTAAGTCCTATTCATTTTGCATAAATTATTTAAATTATTCAATGTCCAATGTAGATTTTATGACAACCTGGGGTCAGTTAGCAAACTGTTGAAAAGCATGAAGCGGTGTGGGTAGTTGTTTCGTCCTAGTGTGCGACTCTGCATGTTTATTCACTTATGCCTGCGCCAGGTATCAAACCCAGGACAAGTTGTAGACTAAGAGGAGAACCCGTTGAGCATTCAGATATTGGAATGGAATTCAATGACCGATGGATACTAAATTCTGACATTTTGTGGCACAGATGGCCAATTACAGCCAATGTCATCAGTGAGCAACATCTCCATTGCACTCAACTTGGTATGTCTGACCAGTCATCAGTTCCCAACAGAACTCTAGGCAATTTCATTTTGTCATCAGTTTGAGTCTAACTTGAAATTAGTCAAAGCAGCTGAATACTGACGTGTTTGTTCAACATCTCTGCGTAACAAATTTGATCTATCGGGTTTCAAACTGAGTTCCAGTCTATGATGAAAAGCTATTGAATTCACCTTGATTTCTGATCACACAATGTGATCTGAACCATTTCAGTTTCTAAAGAAAATTTTGTTGAAATTTCACTTCCTCGAACTGCGTAAATTACAGGTCGCAAATGGGATCAAATATAATACAAGTATAACCTAAGTAGCTAATGAAAATTCGGTTGGTCTGGCCTGATTCTCCTGTTCGGGCCCATTCAAACCTGTTGCATCGCTGATGATCTAGGCCGCAGACGACTGAGACATCTGGAAGGTGTTCAGATCACTTGTATCTAGTCAGTAAATACTATGGTCCTTGTGAATGGCATCCACCTACTCATACAAGCCAATCAGTAGCACAGTACGCACCTTTCTGAAAGTTGATCACTTTTTTATTTATTATTTTATAAACGTATTACGCTTGATTCAGCTTTCATATAGTGCAGTCCATTTCGAGTGGAACATAGATCTTCCAGATTACGCTTTGAAGTTTTGGCAACCGTTCTGTTGCCTTTAAGGTGTGAGATTACAAGCCAAAGGTCTAACCTTCCCTCTTTGCCAATAATATATTATTAGCCAAGCAAGCTTTAGGAGTTCGTCGGGTGAGAATTGAACCGGGACCATTTGAAGCGTAGTTGACGAGTATCCTGACACTGAACCGTTATATTTTAAACTAATTCATGATCTATTCAGAGGCTAGTTCAAATTATGTTTCTAGTCATCACTGAAAACTATTTCACTGAATCACAACTAAACTGCAACGACAAACTCCAGTCACTATCAACGAAAGAAATATAAAAAGGGGATCACTTTCTTTACTTACCTTAAACAACAACATTTCAACCGCAGATGAAATCACTGATGAGGATTTTAATACTGGAATCGGAAGGGCAAGACAGACCTTCATCAATCTGAAATCAGACTAGAAATCTACTGAACTCAACGTAAAGAACAGAATTCGAGTTTTTAACATCAATGTGTTAAGTCATTCAATTTTTCTGTACTAGTCAGAAAATTCACTTATACCCAGAAAAGCATTTCCAATAGGACGTGAACTTTTATCAACAACTGCCTTTGTCCCATATTGAGGAATAAATGTTCAGAAAGGATTAACGATGGGACACTCTGGGGAATGAACCAGTCAAGTACCTATTACTAAAGAAATATTTCGAAGGAAATGGAGGTCTGTCGGATACACACTGAGGAAACCACTGAGTGACACTGCATTCAATGCCAGACCATCGCTGTAGTTGAATTCCAAATGAGAATAGACGAAGTGGCAGTGGCCTCGAGTGTGACATGGAGGAGGTTGTGTAAGGAGAAGATGAAAGCTTGTGAACATTCATGCAGCCATCTAGAAGAGATCACAGGGAACAGGACGAAATGGATATATGCTGTTGAAGCCGTATTTTGCACTTAGATTCCGAGGAAACAATATAAAAATCACAACTTCAACTTATATTTGTTTTAGAAAAGAAAAGGTGTTCAGCAAAGAGTTACTCTTTTCGGCGATATCATTCTCAAGCTGTACAAATCGCAAATTTATACTAATTTGTCTTGGAAACAAAAGGAATATTTTCAAGGATGTGTTAATGCAATTGTTAGTTTTTGACAAACAAATTACGTAATTTTGAAGGCGTTAATCGGTTAGAAACTAAAATAAAGTTACAAAAGTAGGTTGGATGACGTAGTCTAATTGATAGGGTTCAATGAAAAAATGAATGAGAGTCAAGTTAATAATCTGAGTAGAATTCACTTGAAAATAAACGAAAATCGAGTTAGCAACAGTCGTCATGAGCGTAGAGATTCAATAGAGGGTGGGGGTAGAAAATAATGCGATTAAGAAATAGACAAACAAAGAAGAAAGAGGTAAGACAAAATTACGTATTTGGTGTTAAGGTAGATCAGGACCATTGTAGATTTAGTGACTGAACAAACTTCTTTTGTATGCAGAGTTCAGGATTCAATATGTGAATTGCCATTGCTTCTGCAGTTTGAAGAAGTTTAATTCGTACTCTTTTGTCAAGATTCCCACGTATTGTGTAGATAACTGAGAAGTTGTTTTGTGGGTTTGCTTGGTGTCCGGATTCAATCAAGTGTTCTAGGATAGAGCTGTGGCAGGGGAATCTTCTTTCTCCTTTATAAAACCATGAAGGTAAGTGTTCGCTGATTCGTTTGGATAGCAAACGCTGGGTACGGCCGACATATTTAGCTCCACATGAGCAGGTGAATTGGTAGATGCACATTGATGAGGTCCCCAGTGGAAGCTTATCCTTCACGTTCATGCGAATCATTGGTTTCGTAGAGAATGTTAGTCTGAGTTCCGCTGCGAAGAAGGTTTTCTTCAGTGAACGGTACAGGCGGTTTCTCAGTATTTCTGCTGAAGAATCTCCGTTGAACTGTAGATTCAAATAGAGAAGTTTCTTGGGAGCAGTAAGCATGGATGGTTTTTGTGTTTTGGGCTTCATAGCTTTTGTGATGAAACGTTCCGGGTAACCGTTTTCAAGAATGATTCTTTTCAGGGTCTTCAGCTCTTCTTCTATAGTTTCCAGACTGCAAATGTTGTGGATTCTGTGAGTCAGTGAGCGGATCAGATTTCGTTTTTTATATATAGGCACCCAACTGTGAAAGCTGTTTGTCATTATTATATCCAATTGTAATTTCGAAACGTCAAGTTTTGAGCGAAATTTTAGCAGAGTAGATATGCCTCGCTGACGAATGCCAACTAGCACGAAACCGCCTAGGTCAAGCAAGGCTTCCTGCATATTCCCTTCAACTATCTAATATCAACAGGGTGAAACATTCACACAATAAGATGTTTATACATTACAGGCTTGAGTATATTCGCCTTTGACATGCAAAAAGCTTAAGACAACGGTTCTATTTCTCTGATAATTGTAGAACAGTCTAATTTATCAACAGACACATATGTGTTCATGTGTTTATATCCCAATGACAGCAATATACTTGATTTGAGTATACTCGGTGTCTAGAACTCAAAATTCAATGTGTTACTTAGCTAAACAAGACCTATCTTTCTCAGGGCGGGATGAATGGTCTCCTGTACAGTCGCTCCGGCCTTCTTTGGCTTGATACTGAGTGGCTAGTAGACTATAGGTGGTTTTGGAATGATTCGGTCGGGCACAGAAGTCGAATCTGCAGAGTTTTTTTTACCAGCATCTCACCACTCAACCACTGAGGAATAAACCTTTTGTTATTCAGTAGGGCCATTAGGCTAGACTTTCTATGCAGTTTATTATGACATTTATGATAGAAGGGAATATTGTCTAACAAGAACTAGTGAATTCACTAATGGAGGTTTAGAGTTAGAGAGACCAGAAAGTTTTTTTAAGATTCCGCATAAACCAATTTCTGGAAACGTCTACTTTATTTCACTTTGACTTTTCTAATCTTCTAGGAGAATCCAATTGAACTGGATGTTACAGTTCAGAAAGTTGGTGAACAAGAAATTCAAAAACTTCGAAATACAGAATTCCGTTTAGTTGAAGAGAATGAAGTATCTGTAACGTCATATGATCTTTCATTGTAAGTTTTGTACATATACACTAAAATGTGCTCTATGTTTATATTCTATGACCTTGTTCTCACTTCAGTCAAATTGACATTTGTCAACATGCAACTTATAATTCGCCAAGAAAAAGGTGTTCAGCAGTGAGTTACTCATCTTTTAAACAATATCAGTTTCAAGCTATACAACCACGCTTATATGTATATATTTATATTGAATTATCTTAGCGACAAAAGGAATATTTCCGGAGACGTGTCATTAGTACTAGAAATTCTAGGTAGCAAGTCACATAGTACAGAAAGCGTTAATTGGGTAGAAAGTGAATCAAAATGAAATAAGTAACCTAAGTGACATAATATAATTGACAGGATTTAGAAAATTCAACTAATATTGAACAGGAGTTATGGTTCATTCGTTCTTCTTTAACAAGATCTCCGCGTATTCTATAGACTACTTTGAAGTTGGTCTCTGGGTTAGCTTAGTGCCAATAATTTATTAGGTGCTCCAGGATGTAGATGTAGAAGGTTCGTTTTCCTTCTTCATAAAACGGTAAGCGTTGTCTCAACCACAGGAAGTCGGAACGGATGAGGATGTCAAATCGAGCGAAAATCGGGAAGGCGAGAAACACATTCATCAACCTAAAACCAATCTGGAAATCTTCGTCACTCAGCCAGAATCAACAACAAAATTCAGTCGGATTTTCAATACAAACGTCAAGTCAGTCAGTTCTTCTATACGGATCAGAAACTTGGCGGGTGGGTAACAAAGAATATTTCCAACAGGCTGGCTATTGCAGACCTTCATCAACCTACAACTGTCTTCGCTGGCTCTGTACTGAAGATCAGATGGCCGGGCCGGAAAGAATCACCACCAACAAGAAACTATGGGAACAGACAAGCAAAATAAGAACCAATCGCCAACCAACAAATATGCAGGAGAAAGTGGAGATGGATGGATTGGACACTCGCTCGCTGAGAAGGCCGGCCGCTGGGTGACATCACGCGCGCGTCAGGTCATTGCTCGAGTAGAGCCAGGCCGAAAGGGAAGCAAGTGGCGAGTGGGACGTCAGTGCAAGGGTGACATGGAGGAGATTGTGTGAATAGAGAGGAGTTGAAACAGTATGGACTAAGATGGATTCAGGTGAAAAGTACAGCAGAAGGAAGACAGAAGTGGCAAGTGGAGACGTGGAGTTGAAGCCCTATGTTCCACTAGGAACCCAAGGGAACAATAATAGTAATAATAAAACGATGGGGATAAATTTTCGACCATAAGTTTGTTTAGGAAACGCAGGATATGACTGACATACGTATCTCTACAGAAGATGATGAGATGATAGACGTGCATCGATGAGTTATCCAGCAAAAAATAGCTTATCCTTCAGCTTCATGTGAATTATTGGTTTTGTAGAGAAAGTAAACAGACGTTCAGTCTCAGTACTTTTTACATCACAATTGTTAGAAGTTAGAATTCATGGACTGTTCATTGGATCGGGTCCCAGTGGTTGAACGGTGTACCAGCTAGCCATATAACTGGGAGATCATGGATTTGAACCCCGGATGGTAGGTATTGCTAGAGAGTTAATAGCACTAGGATGTAGCAGTTGTCCAGTACTCACTGCTTGGTTTTCAGTGGTTAGTCTGTGATCAAATTCGAAGTAAATCAAATCCCTACAAATCAACTATTGAAAATACCCCTTAGTCATTCGTGAATGTTTATATATACATATATATATATATATATATATATATATATATATATATATATATATGTATATATGTACCTTGTCATTTAGCCTGTTTCCTTTTTGACAGTACAAGGTTAAACACTGAAAATATAATATAAACACAGATAAACCAAACTAAATAAATAATTGAATGTTATGCTTAACAGATTTATGATGAAGTTATTCAGGGCACAGATGAATGTGAAATCTCAGTTTCTCTCTTATAACATATGATTAAGGGAAGCTTTATGTTCAGTTGGTAGTTGAATGTTTGCATTCTGGTGAATCAAGTGGGTCGCATTACCAACCAATGGATCCACTTGGAAACCCACCTCACCTAGTTAACTGGCCGACAGTAGGTTTGGAAAAGAATAAAGCTTGAGAGTGGAGCTAGCAATACCATCCTTCAGCACAAAAAGTAGCACTGCTACTGAGGTTTCCAAGCTTCAGTTTTCAAGTGGTATGATCTCTCAGGGATGTAAGAGGGATGAAACAAAACGTAATAAAACTGTAATGATTAGGCCACTTATTTATTCTATAAATTAAGAAATAAAGTTGATTTTCATATATTGGTTTGTAGAGTTTTTTTTTGTTTAATTGACTGAAGGATTTCATAATGAGCTGACATCAAACAAAGAACCTTTGGAAAATCTGGAAATACTACACAACCATTTCTCTAGCCTAGTTTAGGACTCTTCACCAGTACGCACCCGTCACTGGGGTTCGAACCCGAAACCTTCTGGTTACAAGGTGAGTTTGTAGACAATTAAGCCACTGGGACCCGATCCAATGGCCAGCCCATGAATTCCAACTCTTGCAAAATCATGATATAGCGCGACCACTTCGAAATGTCTTCTCCGATGGGTTACTGCCTCACTTTCAACCTGCTATTTCCTACTTGTCACGGCTTCCCACTAAAACCTCAGCTCACTACCTGAATAGAGCCAGTCGCTAGTGAGCATCAAGTGAATTTTCAAATATTAGTTTTGTAGGGATACTTTTTTGTTTGTTTAGTTGGAGGGTGCGTAGTGCTGAAGAGTCCCAAACTAGGACGAAACAGGTGTCCAGTACTTTTAGGTTTTCGAATGGTTCTCTAACTGGTGTCAGCTCATGATGAAATCCTCCAACGAATCAAATAAAGCTGCCTTCTTTGATTGGATCTTAACTAGTAACTGGTGTCATGCATCTAGTTGTTTGTGCTGTGTGGACGGAATTAGTTCAGTCATCACTCTGAATTTTTGTTATTAAATGGTTGGAGAGAGTTGACAGGAAACAACAAACCTATCTTTCGTATTTGTTAGCATTTGTCAGGAAGGCTTATCTACACTGCGTGTGAGTAAAATAGCTATGATTATGAGCAACATAATTGTGCTGGAAATGTCGTCCTGTTATTTACGCTCTGTCATCATCATGATTACCATCATATCCAATGTATTTATTTTATAGAGGTGGTACATTCTACCACAAGATGCCTAAATTCATTCATGACGAAATCTGTGTTTAAAATAAAGTACATATTATATCAGTTATAGAACCACTGAAAACCAAATGTAACAACAGAAGACAAGGGCCAGGCAACAGATCGTTTTATTATAAAAATCAACACGTATTTATATATATTTCACATACATCATTATAGCTTATGCAAGTAGACAATCACAGTCATCTGATTGGTTGTTTATCAGAAGTTAAGCAGACAAACGCAGGCTTCTGATTGGTTCCTCGGGATTCCTCGAAAAATAGAGTTCTCTATCTGCGAATCATATTTTGCCAAGTTAAGTCTGCTGTGATTGGTTGTTGAATCAGCCTTCTACATATTTTCTCACAGCCTGCTCTCGCCACACAAGGAGTGAGTACTGGACAGCTGTTTTATCCTATTTTAGGGCTCTTCATCATTGCCCATCTATGACCTCAACTAGAACCAGACCGTAGACCTTCAGGTTATACATGATTCACGGGGTTCCGTACTCCCTGGTTTTCAGGGGTTCTCTGACTGAAACTGATGAAATCCTTGCAAACTAATACTTAAAAATCTGATACTCACCATAGACTGAATACAGAATTAAATTACCTGGAGTTCTAGTGAGAGACTGTGACCGATACGGTCAACCAGCTAGCCAATAACATTGACTAGGTTTAATTTATGGGCTTGCCATCGGATTCCATCCCACTGGCTGAATCGGCAACGGGTTTGGCTTCGTCACCTTGTGGTTCTCAGTTCAACCCAGGATGGATTTGTGGGTGTCTACTACTGAAGAATACCAAGCACTAGGACGAGAAAGCTACCCAGTACTCCTTATTACTTTCTAATGGTTTTCCAGCTGACATGCTTGAAACATAATTTCTTTTTTTAAAGTATTTCTAAAAGGAGTAACCTTTAAAACGTGGATCGATATTTTTAAAAAGTAGTATTTACCCTCAATGAGATCATTACTGCCAAGATAATTTACAATACTTCTATTAAGATCTCTACACTGTCAAGGAAATAAGTGTTAATTATCATAGATGGTTAACACTGATACCTAAAACGCAATTACTTATATAACTTGTGCTTACAGATAAAGTATCCTGTTGCTTTGATATATATACATAGATAAATACATATATATACCTCATCTTGTAAATATCTTTTGAAACTATTATCCCAATTAGAGGTGTTGACATTTACGATTACAATTCAAATAAACAAATGTAAGATCATGAATAGCTGGACACAGTATTCTCTGATCAAATGATTTCTATGCTTCACATACCTGAAGCAAAGAATTACTTATTAATTCCACTACTCCCTGAAGCAATCACATCTCATGTATACAAGTTAATTTGACAGTGTCTTAGTTAGTTTGGTTTTTGTTAGAACTACTATCTAGAATAGATCTTGCCACTTGCCAGGTTGTATGTATGCGAGAGCTCATAGTCCTTCCTGGTTCATTGCCTAGGCTGAAGTAGATTGACTTGGATTCGAACAGCGATGCTATCGGCTGAAGATGAAGTCCCCACGCCAATCAGTCCTATCTTCAACATGTTTTGACTAATGATAACTAAGGGAGAAAATGAAAGCAGGTACATATCTGCCAGATAATTATACGAGATCGTTTTATTTCGTGGAGTCTCCTCAACTGCGTACATCCTAACCAGTATTAGAATATTAGTTACAAAATTTCCGAGGATATTACCGAAATTACTTCAAAAATGATGAAAGTAGACAAACTATTTAGTGCTAAAATGCTAACTATTTATAGTGTGATTAAAGGGAGTTAAAGTTGGGATTTCGCTTGGGAACGAGGTTAGACTAGAGACGCAATACAAGATCGGAAAACAGAGTTGATTGATGTATCGTATGATGAAGAGTTGAAGACAGTAGTAAGAGTGAATAGTGAAATAAAATTTTGATACACAAAGAATTAAGTAAAATTGGATACTTAATAGTGAATTCATCTCAGTAAATGAAAATGTAAGTCAAAACTAAGTGGAATACATCGCAACAGAACAAAACAATTACAGTTACCAGGTGTGTGGGAGACTAGTCCATATCACCTGACCCAGTGACCTGGAGGATAACTCTTTAGCGTCTGAAAATAACAGTACAGGATCTGAGTCCAGTTAACTATTCGCTAAATAAGACGAAATGTATACCCTTTATTTGACTGTTAGTCATTATCTACTGAAGTAAAATAGTCTTTAGATAATTAATTAGTCATAATTTCACCTCAGTACCCGAAATTTGTGAGTACAGTATTATATTTTATTATTGTTCCCTTAGGTTCCTAGTGGAACATAGGGCTTCAACTCCACGTCTCCACTTGCCACTTCCGTCTTCCTTCTGCTGCACTTTTCACCTGCATCCATGTTAGTCCATACTCTTTCAACTCCACTCTCTTCACACGATCTCCTCCATGTCATCCTTGCACTGACGTCCCAATCGCCGCTTCCCTTTCGGCCTGGTTCCACTCGAACAATGACCTGACGCGCGCGTGATGTTGCCCAACGTCCGGCCTCCTCAGCGAGCGAGTGTCCAATCCATCAATCTCCACTTTCTCCTGCATATTTGTTGGTTGGCGGTTGGTTCTTCTTTTGTTTGCTCCTTCCCATAGTTTCCCATAGTTGGTGATTATTTCCGGCCCGGCCATCTGATCTGATCTTCAGTATAGAGCCAGCGAAGACAGTTGTTGGTTGATGAAGGTCTGCAACAGGCTGTTGGAAATATTCTTTGTGACCCGCCCGCCCGCCCGCCAAGTTTTTGATCCGTATAGAAGAACTGAGTGACTTGACGTGTTTGTACTGAAAATCAGGCTGAATTTTGTTGTTGATTCTGGCTGAGTGACGAAGATTTCCAGATTGATTTCGAGTTGTTGAATGTGTTTCTCGTCTGCCTTCCCGATTCTCGCTCGATTTGACATCCTCATCAGTTCCGACTTCCTGCAGTTGAGACAATGCTCCCTAGATAAGTGAGTGAATGAAGTAACCTCTTTCAAATCCCTCCCGTTGATGGTGATTGGCGCCGGATGTTCCTGCTGTTGTTGTTGGTTGGTTGGTTATTTTCATAACCTCCGTCTTGTCTATGTTCACCTGGAGTCCTGTCTTCGCCGGCTGCTTCTTCGACCAGTTTGTCGGTTTTCGCTTGTTAGTCTTCGATTTTGTGTGTCATCAAACATAAATCATCCACGCGCGAAATCCAGGTCTTCTAGATTCTTCACGTCGGTCCAGGATATCCCTGTCCCGTTTCTCGTTTCCCACTCACTGTCTGACGCATAATCCAGTCAGACCACCACAATTTGGAATATCATTGGTGATAGATGATAAGCACCCTTGTCTGACTCCTGTGTTTACTCCAAACGTCTCGCTGAGTTTTCCGTTGTAAATCACTTGACATGTTCCGTTGTCGTACAGCTGTTAAATCAGGTTGATGAATATTTTGGGTACGCTTTGGTACTCGAGTAGTTTCCAAGTTACTTCGCCGTCAACGCTGTCGAAGGCCTTCTTAAAGTCTATAAAGTTGAGGTAGAGGTTTGATTGACATTCCATGCTCTGTTCTGTGATGATGATGCGTGGAGTTGCAATTCGGTCAGAATATGATTTGCCTTTCCTGAATCCAGCTTTTTCTGGTAGGAGTTCTGTATCCAGTGCTCCCTGATTCTCTGCAGGATGATGCGACTCAGGATTTTACTTGGCTTCGACAGGAGCGTGTTTCCTCACCGATTCTTGTCCTAAGTCGCCCTTCTTTAGTAGCTTCACGAGATAACCTTTCCTCCAGTCAGTAGGCACCTTTCCCTCCTTCCAGACCTTTTGCAATAATGAAGTCAGAATATCTGCTGTCGTCTCTGTGTCCGCTTTCATTGTGAGTACAGTATCATAGGAAAATAGTCTCAATGAACAAATACTGTAATGGAATAATGTTTATTTGTCAGTCTGTTCGTTAGCCGTTTTGATATAAAAACGCTTGAATAGGACGTTCAGATGTGGATATTGATCTTTGATTTGGCGGTCTGCTTAAAACATCATTAAGCAGAATATAATTGCTCTCTTTTACTTTGTTTTATTCTATTGAAATATAAACTCTAATGGTTTTTGCTGCTCTCAGGACTATTCAAAATATTTAAAATCTGATATATCACAGGTTCCTACTAAACTTGAAAAGAAACGTAACTATAGCTGGCAGATTATCCCCAGTACATGAGAAAACTATTCCTAAGTTATGCTTTTTGAATCTCAACCAAATGTTCAAGGATTTCTCGAAGAAGATTTAGAAGAAATATTATTATAAGCGATTAGTTTACGCTTCAGATCAAACAGAATTTTATCACAAGATCTATTGTCAGCTTATATTTCATTTGATGATTCTGCACGAGGGGAAAATATCATGCAATATGTTCCGATGTAAATTCTGTACAAACAATTTTACATGCAACCAACCGAAACTTTAATAGTTCAGTGGCCATGTCTGTTGCTGAATAAATGGATGATGCATGTTTGAATCCCCAAAAGTAATAGCCTTTTTTTTCAAAATTACAGATACTTGTCATGCGGATAAGTTCTAACATGTACAAAGACTTGATCATACACCTTTGAACCACCCGATATATCCTGTTGAGTAATAGAGCTTAGTTGGTAGTGAAAACAAGAGATGCATGACAGTGGTTACTCCCTTCCTAGTTAATATTCAATGTAAACAAAAATTATCATTTAAATCTCTAATTAAAAAACTACCTTCATTTCTGCTTTATACATACATTTACAGGATTGTTCGTTTTCATGTCACTTATTCATGTTTACCAAATTATTTTGGAAAAATGTGTGCAACATTCTGTGATCGACAATCTGTTGATTACCTATGCGATGCATCAGGAAATATATTCTGTAAACGAGGTAAGTAAAACTCTTTGGATTAGTTATCAAATTTACAAAGTGAATTGAGGACCACTGTTTAGTCATTCCTTTTTGTTATATTATTTCAACCATTTGTTTAATATCAAATTTCATCACTAACTGACATCAGTTTGAGAAACATTGGAAACTGTCAAAGAGTAGTAGACAGTTATTTAGTCCTACTTTGGGACTCTTCAGCAGCATGTATCCACAGGGGTTCACACCTAGAACCTTCTGGCTACAAATCAGCTGGTAAAGCAAGTGACCATTGGGACCCAGTCCATTGGCTAGTCCATGGATCCCAACTGCTATTCAGCAAACCTCCCAAGTATCTTCACAGTTTCTTCCAAAATAACTTTCGTTCATTATAGACCTAAACTGTTAATTTCTCACTTGTTCGCAGGTTATTATTTCGATCACCAATATCAAAAATGTCGTCTTGATCAATGTATCAATAGATCAAATTATTGTTTAAATGGTGGGCTGTGCAAAAATAATCCAAATTTAGACGCCAATGAATTACCACTATGCATATGTCCATCGGAATATAAAGGTTTACGTTGTGAATTGAAAAATCAATCACATACAGAAATGGTGAATAGAACTTCATTAAAACAAAATGAATTGAATAAAAATAATTCATTTAATAGTAATAATAATAATAATAAATTAGTTAATACAACTACTGAAGTAAATGAATTGAAAACTACAGATTACATGAATAGGGAAGTGTCTAAATTGTCCGTTTCCAACATTGGGATAATAACTTCAACTCAGGGAATTCAAATATCCTTCAACAATTGAGGCCTACAACTCCTGTTATTTCACTAATAATAAACGCTACGACTACTACTACTACTATGAATTTAGATAAAACATCAACAACATCACCTTCGTCATCATCAGAAATATTTCTAGGAGTTAAAAATCCTAAATTTATAAATGAACAGGTTAGTTATTCCTCTCTGATGCATAATTGCATTCTCATGTATTTTATGTTTTGAATTATGATTATTTTTCAGTAGTTATACGTGTTTCGGCTTTTTGAAATTAGATTCGTTGACCTTGAGAATTCAGTGTACAATAGTTTATTGATAATGTACTATCGTGTGTAGTTGATACATTATCATTATCACCATGCAATACGTAATGATTACTTCTTTGCATGTTTTCAATAATAATTGCACCTAAAATAAAAGGGGAAAAGATAACATAAGCGCATAGCAATCAGTTTGTTTTTCTAAAACAAATGGAAAGCAACATTCTTAGACATCGAGCACCCCACACACAAATGCTTCACAGTGGTACACAGAGTCCCTCAATATCGTACAAAAGGACTCCAGATATGACATCTGTACATAGCTGAGGCATTAGCTATTCGTGACCTAAAACCGGACCTATGCATACAAAAACGACACTTACATTCTCTAGCCCTACCATGGCCAGAGTAAATTTCTGACTATAATTTTACTCCTCTCTTTTAATATGTAAGTTCACTATTATTTATTATTATTATTACTGTTCTTAATACTTTCATTATTATTACTATTCCCATCATCCACATTTTATTACCACTCTATTACTGTTTATTAATAACATTGCTTTTTCACACAGATCTTATACAAAACTACTGTATAACCTTTCCACTAGATCCCGTCCACTCTACACTAGCTTATTGATTAGTCATTATCTCACACTTATTAGGTCATGCCAACTTCTGTCTCCTTTCTAACTTACAATTAGTCATCCCTTCTTACACCTCACACTATGTAGTAGAATTTTCAAGGACAAAGTTTACCAGTATCTGATTGGTCAAAAACTTATGTGTTTAATTATAATTACGATTGTACAACGGCTCATGAAAATGAATCGTCGAAAAGGGAAAATTTTCTTCGCTGTTTGTGCCTTTTCTTCTGACTCAATATGGGAATATTTCGTTCAATTTTAAATTTGTCTGGACATTGTATTCAAACAAGAGTTGATTTAATATCTGCATAGAATTATTTAAGTGAATTAGCAAATGAGTGTACCTTGTTGTTATGCGATATAAGTATTTCCAATAAAATTCGACGTCAAGAGTCACATCAAGTGTGTGTGTGTGGGTTTGTGATATCAGTTCATTAAAGTTATGTTGGTTGAATCCAAAAACCATTGGTTGGAGGCGATCTCAAGTCAAAGGAACTGTCTTTAAATTCTACCGATTTTTAGTCCATTCATCTATTGGAGGAAATAGAGAATTCTTGGGTCTGTTGAAAGTATCATTTTGGAGTATGACGAACAATATGATCCCAAGGTGTTAGCCAAAATCATACTTCTGTCTTGATATTGACTCATAAAATTCTTTGCAGTCTTTAATTAACGCTGGTGGATATCAAAATAATCAGGGAGGTTACTTCAATCGGTAAAGTTGCCTGCTGAATACTTGGGGACAAGTATTAGGGAACAGAATTGTCTTTCTATGACATCTGTGGTTCAACTGTAGAATGCTTCTCAACCACTCGGAAGGTCAGGATTTGATTGACCACTGATGGACGCCTAAAACTCACTTAGTTTACTAGCCTGCAAGGCGCTGAAGAAAGTGGGAAGGTTAGAATTGGGGATGGCGACTTTCCCTCTTGAAAACAACATCACCTTATCTACTGTAACTGTAAAGATTGAGTCCCTGTGATCAACTCGGATCTCTAGGAACGAGCAAGTGTCCTACTTAAATTGATAGCTGTAGATTCTACTTCGAAGTGATATATCCCAAGAAGTCAGCAAATAACCTGCATATCAGTCGGTTTTATACACCTCATAACAAATAAATATCAAATTGTCATATAAACAAAAAGAGAAGCGTTGAGCTATTTAGAATTGAAATGAGGTTTAGTCAGTTTACTCTTACTAGACCAATCAGATTGGCAAGTAGTGTCCGTATTTCATCTAAACAGAATTTTTAAGGCTTGATTGTGACTTCTTATAGTGTGACATTTAGTCCTAATTTTTATTCATACATTTTTGGAAGTGTCGTTGGTGAATCAACGACTATGATAGGTAGTGATAACAGTCCGATTTCAACATTGTCTCAAGAAGATAAGGCTTATTGACTTAGGTAATCAACTTCTTGCCAGTTGGACCTGGATACCGCGATAGTATCATCAACCCTCAGATGATAAGTATGTCTCACAGTGAACTCTTTTCACGCAACTGTTCGTTTTCATATCCAGGTGTTTTGATCTCGCGGCTTTTTGAAAGGTTTAATCGGCTCTCGTGTAGAATCGTGTAGAAGACTATTTTCAAATAGAGCTGCCGAACAGGTTCAAATAACCATCGAAATGATCCCGCAACTCAATCTCAAATTTGAAAAGGAATCCGGAAGCAGAAATTGTCCCTAAAACGGCTTTGAAAATCTCTCAGTAAATTATAATTCTTTATCAGCACAAGAAATTATTCTACTGGCTTCTGAGTTGGGCTATATCAACACGTGTATACTAGTTCATCTGTTTCTGTGGAGTTGAGCGCAAGGGATAATTATTACCAAGCCTGGCTAGTTAAAGGTATAACTTAAGTGTGTCAGTTATTGGATAACAGAACACCGCTTTAACGCAGAAAATACTCAGCTCTTATTAAAGAAATCCTTCCAAAGTCCTATAAAAGATTCCACTCAAACCATCCAAAGAGAGTGAGATCAAGAAATCTAAATGGGTATGGCTGAATTATTATCGATGTATCCAAATTGGAAGTGTTGCTAAAATAACTCGTTAATACACATGTAGCCAAACACATAGACTCATGGAAGAAATTAGCGACATTGGTTAGTGGTCGCACTACATCATGAATTCGCAGAAGTCGGAATTCGTGGAGCATTGGATCGGATCATAGTGGTTTAATACTCTACGAGCAGCTTGCCTTGTAATCAGAAGGTCCAAGGTTCGAACGTAGCACGTGTCCACCGGGATTTAGACTAAGAATTTTCTGGTTACAAGTCAGGCTTGTAAACTGTCCAGTCACGTCCAGGACACGAGCTAGTAGTCTATAGATTTCATCTTCTGTCAGTTCACCATATACGCAGCAACCGCCAGCCAATGTCACAAGCGAATTACTGTTCTCTTGACACCAAGGTAGGCAGTGGTTCTCTAACCGATGCTAATTTGTGACCAACCATGTATTTCCTATATGTTCGATAGCAATAATAAACCTTTTATTCTAAATTAATATGCATAAACATTACTTTCAATGTATTGTAAATGTTTTTAGTCAAAAATCCATCTACTATGTGAAAATGAGGTTAAATTTATTAATATGCACAGTGTACATGATGTGAAATCAAATTAACTGTAAACACGTTTAATGGTAGTGGTAATAATAATAATATTAATAATAATAATAAAGAATAATGGAAAGTGTTCATACATGTTATATACAAAATGAATTATCATTTTGATGTTTCGTAAAAACAATCTATATGTACATGTGTGTATGTGTGTGTGTGTGCAGATAAGGGAGTGCGTGATAACTGATTACCGTTAGTTGACAATTGAACACATAAAGTTAAACGTTACTTTGTTTATATATATATATATATATATATATATATATATATATATAAAACATGAAAAGATCAATTAAAATAGATAATAATAATAGTAATTCTGTTCTAGTGATTATGTAATATAGTTAAACAATGCATTTATAAGTGTCTACTTGTCCCTGTGTGCATGTGTGTATGCATACTATAGAATATACCGATTTTGTTGATATCGACGGGTACTTTCACTTAATAAACAAAGGGAAGAGTGATAACAGGTTAAGCTAAACAGTTGGGATTGTATTGTCTTGTAAATTATAATAATCGTGGTATGGTTCTACTTACATTATATCGTTGGTGAATCATCATCCAAGGTGAAGACAATGGTAAAATTCAGTCTCCTAAACACCGTGAGCAGAAATCTTCGAGTAAGATGCTACTGGACTTGACTGTATCAACTCCTAGCTTGAAGTTGGTGGCAGTGGGTGTGAAGTTGCGAAAAGTTGTGTTGACCACATCACTTCTTATTAGTGAAGTTGCATCAACCCTAAAGAAATGATTGTCGACACAACCTCATCAAGGATACAAAACCCTCGTGTGGTATCTGTTAACTTACATCATCTTTGGAATAAACGTGATATCCAACTAATGGTCGAAGAATGTGTGTACTTTTCAGCAGTTCTTTCTAGCCTCCTCTGAGGTTGTGAGATATGGTCATTGAAAGTGGAAAACATGACTACGCTAGCTGCCTTTAATTACAAATGTCTGTGCTCTATCTCCCGTGTTATGAGGTGTAATAGGGTGAGTAATATTATGGAGACACTCCCAATGTCTTTGTTTTTTATTACAACTTGATTACACACCGTATTTTTGATACAAGTATGGAATTTTCAGCATGTGATATCGGTAGCCCAAATTTTGCAGGCCGACCGTAGATATCAAGTGTGCGTTGGCAGGGGATCAAACCCCGGACCATGTGCATGGTTGGCGAGAGTCCTAACTACTGTACCACCGACAAGTGTTAGGCAAAGAGGGAAATTGTGTCGACGAGTTTGTGCATTTCCATCGATTGAGATGGCTACGACATGTGTCACGTACGCCTTGTCATAGCCTTCCTTGGCGAGAAATGTTAACTGACATAAAATTCATGAGGTTGGAAAAGAGCTAGTGATGGTCAAACTAAGACTTGGAATCAGTTCGTGGAATCTTTGACAGTTAGTTTGAGCAAACCATGTAGGATTCTGTACACTGCTTGGTCGCTTTTAGCTCTTGAGAACCTATTTATCATCAATAGCTGGAGACAATTAATGATATGGCCTAAAATCATTCTGAGTGTCATAGATGCATTCACCCGTTGGGATTTCCTATATCCATCAAAGCATATTGTCACCCCTCCCCCATGTTACTATTCTTTCTCCCTCACATCTCTGCTTTTATCCATTTTTTTGAATCCTTTTTTCTCTCTGCGCCTTCTGCTTTTGTGTGATTTCTAGAGTATGCCAACTTGGACAAGCGCACATCTGTGCAGAGTTCTACACTGAAACTCAATCTGAATGTCAGCCCTTCACTAATGAATCCATTATTTCTATTCAAGTGTTGGTTTGTAGGGATTTGGTTGATTGGTTACAGGATTTCATCATGAGCTGACATTAGTTAGAGAACCATTGGAAAACCAGCTGGGAGTACTGGACAGCTGTTTCGTCCTAGTTTGGGACTCTTCATCAGTACGCACCCACAGGGGTTCGAACCCAGGACCTTCTGGTTACAAGGCGAGCTCGTATACCATTAAGCCACTGGGACCCGATCCAATGGCCCACGAATTCTACCTTCCGCCAATTCACGATATAGCGCAACCGCTAACCAATGTTTTCGGTGGCGAGTATTTGTCCTCACACCCACTTGCTGCACCATACTGGTCACGACTTCCCACTGGAACCCCAGGTAACTACCTACCTGAATAGGGCCAGTCGCCAGTGAGCATCTCATTGGTATTCAAGCATTGGTTTGTAGGGATTTGGTTGATTGGTTACAGGATTTCATCATGGTCTATGAGCTCGCCTTGTAACCAGAAGGTCCTGGGTTTGAATCACGGTGGGTGCGTACTGCTGAAGAGTCCCAAAAAACTAGAACGAAACAGCTGTCCAGTACTCCCTGCAGGTTTTCCAATGGTTCTTTAACCGATGTCAGCTCATGATGAAATCCTGTAACCCATCCATTATTTCTTAACACACCTTAAATTTTCCAATTGTATATCTAACGTCATGGAACTTAATAGTTCCAGTAAAATTATTGTGACCTGTAGAAAGTTTGTATGATTCAAACTGGAAATTTTGACCAGTTTTACTCAGAATCTTGTCAAGAACTAACACTGGTTAGAAAACAACAGTGCGCTAGATACCTGTTTCGGCTTACTTCGTGACACTTTAGTAGCAAGTCCTACCCCACCAGGTTCTTGAAAAAATGCATCCTGAAAGTGACCCAAATCTCCAGAAGCTCAAAGTTTGAATTTTCAGTCAACTTGCTTGTTAATGTTTAGTTTCATCTTTGGTGTTCTGGATTTCTAATAAGAATTCATGATCCATACTATCTAACCAGTTGTGTGTGTGTGTGGACAAGTATTCGCTAACACCAATAGTTGGCCAAGCCTCTGTCTAACGCGAATCTGTCGAAGTTAGAATTTACAGTTCATTGGATTGGAACACAGTAGCAGAGTGGTCAACGAGTTTGCCTCGTAAAACATAAGTGTTATGGGTTCGGCCCCCAGTTGAGTGACATAGAATCATGTTATTCCGCTAATGGCAGCTAGCAGTGGACTCCCGAGTGTGCATTCCATCCTACATTGAGAATGGTGAGCTGAATAAACTTGCATAAGCATTAGGTAACTGTCCTCTCACTGAGATTCTAACTCGCTCCTCATCCTTTCAAACGCCAAACAGTTATCTGTTATTCAAGTAATGGTTTGTAGGGATTTGATTGGTTACGGGATTTCATCATGAGCTGACATTAGTTAGAGAACCATTGGAAAACCAGCTGGGAGTACTGGACAGCTGTTTCGTCCTAGTTTGGGACTCTTCAGTAGTACCCACCCACCGGGATTCGAACCCAGGACCTTCTGGTTACAAGGCGAGCTCGTATACCATTAAGCCACTGGGACCCGATCCAATGGTCCTTGAATTCTAACTTCTACCAATTCACGATATAGCGCGACCGCTAGCCAATCTTTTCGGTGGCGAGTATTTGTCCTCACACCCGACCAGCTGCACCCTACTGGTCACGACTTTCCACTGGAACCCAGGTAACTACCTACCTGAATAGGGCCAGTCGCCAGTGAGCATCTCATTGGTATTCAAGTATTGGTTTGTAGGGATTTGATTGGTTTCAGGATTTCATCATGAGTTATCTGTTAGGCTACTAAGCAACGACAATCACTTCTTGTACAGTGGCTTTCAATTTTTTTATTTGTATTTCTGTTTTTATTGATTATATACTAGACCAGAATCCTGGGTCTCTTTTGACATGTAAGCTCCTAGTACGAACGCTTCACGACTTTTAATTAGCACAGTTATGAGTTTGACCATAATTTAGAGATTCGTTGACTCAAACCAGTGCAAATTACCTGACTCAATGGTTATCTAACCATTAACTGCTTTTTCAACTTACAATGAAATAAGCGTAATTGTCACTAGAGTTAGAAGTGAAATAGTTTAAGTATGATCTTTTGAAAAGAGTGAAGGGCCAGGACGAAGCAGAGATTCTCAATTAACCCAGATGGGAGTATCTGTATAGCGTTTGTTATCCTTTATCAGATTTCAATCTGTGTGTCCAAAACAATTAATGTCTTCTTGTTCTACCTTCTTCGTTCTTTGAGTGGAATATAGGGTACCATTTTTACAGGGTGGAATTGCGAACTTCATGAGAAACCTTCCCTCTTTTTCAGGTTTCGGTGTGGCCCAGTGGATAACTCATCGGCGTTTGAAACGATGGATTCTGAGTCCAAGTCCCAGTGGGAAGACATTTTCTGACTGAAGATGTAAGTGTATCTAGCACCTGATGTGTTCCAAATAGAAAGAAACACGCATCCTGGTCACCATTAACGAAGTATTCAGATTAAAGCGTCTGTAAGGACTCATGAAATCTAACTTTGTCATTTCCAACTGATGTTTATTCCTGGCGGAAATCGAAATTTCAAACCTACTTCTGTGGACTGTACTTCAAACTGTATCTACAAGTTCACCTGCAGCTGCGGTGACACCTATATAGGTAGAACTAACAGAATGTTCCAATATACAATTGGTGGATGGTGGCTAGCAGTGGAATCCAGGATGCACATTTCGTCCTATTTGGGACTCGTCAGCTGGATGTACCTGCATTTCTCAGTGAGTGATGATGTTCCCACCGAGGCTCGAACCCAGTACCCATAGTTTTGAACGCCAAAGCGTTATCCACTAGACCACTTGGGCCACGAGAGCCACCTCTTGTGCGACGGGTCATATTAATTATTGAATTGAATTTTTGATTTTCCCGTCGACTGTTTGGACCGAAGTGGGAACGTCATCACTCATTGAGAAATGCAGGTACATCCAGCTGACGAGTCCCAAATAGGACGAAATGCGCATCCTGGATTCCACTGCTAGCCACCATCCACCAATTGTATACTAATTAAATGCCCAGACATCGTCGAAGCATCTGCACAAGAAGCCGACATGTCAACCTGAGACCGAGCACTTCGGTCCAAACAATCGACGGGAAAATCAAAAATTCAATTCAAGAATGTTCCAATGTCGTCGAAAAGAACATATTCCAAAATGGCTAGTAAATCATATCGAAAATCCTAACGCGATTAATCTTAATAGAAATCCAGCATCATGCATTGCAAAACACTTATTAATGTCTGGTCACAAAATCAATATTAATGACTGTTTCACAATTATTTCACATAACTCTAATTCAAGGTTGGTTATTGAAGGTGATGGAAGAACTTTGGATTAATCACATACAGCCTAAACTGTGTGTTCAAAAATCAATAGACTTCAGTCTTCGCCTACCCTGGACTGCATGACCTATCTTAATATGATTGGTCATTAGTATGTACTTTTGTTTTTATTTTATTTAACTGAGTAATTTTCAGGAAATCGAAGAATCGAAATTAATCCAAAATTCCCATAAATTTCGATAAACTGGATATCAGTCGCCAGTTAACTGATGTTAACTGGATAGATATTTCCCGAAGCTATAGTGGGAAGTCGTGTGACCAATGCAGTGCATATTGTCAAAGTGAACTCGATACACATCGAATACACTGGTGAACACAACAGCATATTACTAGTTGACAAGGTTAGAAATTCATTGAATCACAGCCCCCAAAGTTGCTGAATGGTCAACAAGCTTGTTCTTGTAATCTGAAAATTCTATATTCCCATCATTTCAGGGTTGGGTGGTGAGTTCCTACTGATGAAGAGTTCCAGAATAAGTTGAAATAGCTGTCCATTACTCACACTCTCTAGTGTTCAGTGATCTCTCCAATTGATATGCTTTCGACACGAAAATTTAACAGCTGAAATTGACCAAACAATTGGGGTGTAGGATCGCTCGAGTAGTTTCTGAACGGGATGTCAGCGTATATAGTTGTAGTTTTACAAAAGGCTGGAATGTATGTGTGTGTGTGCTTGTGTAAATACGATTATGAAACGGATCGGGTTATATTTCTCCTTATCCGATAACACCATCTAATCACTTTCATGTAGACATTTGTGCTATAAAATTGCACAGCGCTCAAAAAGTGACATCATCTATGTTAAAAAAATAATCTTACAGTTTTACATTACTGTTTCTTTTAGAATGTGAAAAGAATCGTCATTCTCTCTTCAGTTGGAATAATTCTAATTTTAACTGTCAGCACAGGATGTATTGGATTAGTTTTATGCCTTATTCGTCGTAAACCGAAAGAAAACAAAAAGTAAGTTGATACCGAAAAGAAACAAGATATTTTTTTGTTTATTTATTACAGAGCAATGTAAATGTGTCAAGTTCATTGTACTATTAGTGATGACCGGACTGCATCAATTTATACTGTGGTCACTAAGATAGGTGATTCACTGACGTGAAGCACCTTGTAAGGATGTTAATCGGTGACAGAAAACCATTTGGAAGACTTGTTTGTACTTATCAACAAAGAGAATCTGCAATCCTTAAGCTGATTCGACCCTGTCCCACTCAGCGCTGTGGTAAGCGTTGTTACCAATAAAATGTTTAACCTCATGATTAGCCTCATTTAAGGCCATGAAAAATGGAGAAAGCAATTCTTTCATGGTTACAGACACGTCTTGTTAATGAGCGCTAATTAGCACGCGATCTCAGTTGAAGGCTTCCTTCCGATTACCACCATTTCATTTGTTTGACTTTATATTCATTAAGTAATATAATTTTAGGACAGAAACTGAGATGGACTACACATCCACTAAGAAGACAGCTGAGGGACATAACAGGTCAGGCACACTCTCAAATGGTAACCGGATAAGAAATGAGTAAGGCATGGAAGCGAAGGTGTCGTGAAGAAGATCATTCAGAGGAGGACATGAAAGCTTATGAAAGGTCGTAGAGACGTGTTGACAAAGGAATGTGGAGAACAGAGTGAAATAAAAGTGTGCCGCTTAAACCCTGCATTTTTACTAGTAACCTCCAGTTATCCAAAAAACTAACAATATAAATTATACAATTATCCTATATTTTGTGCATTTCAAACCTAGAAATCGGAAATTTTTATGTCCATAAACGATTAAGGTATTCATATTCAATTTAATAGCATGAAATTGTGATCTGTTTTAGATTAACGTGTATGTCATTGAATTCCATATTTGCTAAACACTTGTTTTTTTATCAACTCTGCAATTTTGAAATTGTTCAGCATCTGATGACTTACTTCAAATGAACTATCGTCAAGATTTGAGAGAATAGTTCTAAAATATTTGCGCACTGAGTGAGAAGTACACATTTGTACAAAATTATATTTGTAAAATCTCAGTGAGATTGAAATGAGTAATTCCAACGTTTCCTACGTTCAGCAGTCTGGTTGAAACTTATTCAGGGAAATTAATCGAAATTAACATAACATAGGTTTATATATAAAAGGAACATCTCTTGATTTTAAAAACTTTGTCCATTCATGAGTCAATATAACAAATATCAACAAGTATAATAAACAAAATTGTATAATTGCATGGAGGATTTAATCATGAGCTGACATCAGTTAGAGAACCACTGGAAAACCAACAGGGAGTACTGGACAGCTGTTTCGTCCTAGTTTGGGACTCTTCATCAGTACGCACCCACAGGGGTTCGAACCCAGGACCTTCTGGTTGCAGGGCGAGCTCGTAGACCATTGAGCCACTGGGACCCAATCCAATGGCCCACGAATTCTAACCTCTGCCAATTCACGATATAGCGCAACCACTTCGCAATGTCTTCTTCGATGAGTTACTGCCTCATCTTTCACCTGCTGTACCCTACTGGTCACGGCTTCCCACTAGAACCCCAGGTTAACTACCTGAATAGGCCAGTCACTAGTGAGCATCAGATTAATTTTCAAGTATTGGTTTTGTAGGGATTTTGTTTGATTGCATGGAGGATTTCATTATGAGCTGACATCAGTTAGAGAACCACTGGGACACCTGTAACCAGAAGGTCCTGGGTTCAAACCCTTGTGGGCGCGCACTGCTGAAGAGTCCCAAACTAGGACGAAACAGTTGTCCAGTACTCCCAGGTTTTCCAGTGGTTCTCTAACTGATGTCAGCTCATGATGAAATCCTCCATGCAATCAAACAAAATCACTACAAAACCAATACTTGAAAATTGTATGAGCTGTGATCAAAATTTGACCTCGGACTTACAAATATTGGTCTACCTTTGTTAAACACTTTAAACGCAGTCTGTATGTGTGTGTGTGTGGGTGGGTGGGTAAACAGTTGTAAAACATTTGTTAACGTCTCCATAAGTAGTTATAGACAGTCGGGAATTTTGATCAAGTATTATTAATTAGTGATACATATCCATTCTTATTTATTAATCAGTATTTTCTATGAGTCATCTAACATCACTAATTCATGTCTGTTCAAACTGTTGGTATCTAGAATTTTATGATTAGACGTATTTTCAGAATTATGGTGTTTAGGATTAGAGTTTAGCTGGAGCACCCTGTCGAATTAATTGCTTTGTCTTCTTTCTGAAAATTGAGCTGCTTTATTCGACCGACTGGAGTTGTCAGGTGACTGGACAGCTACGGATTTACGATATGCATTCTGTTGCAGACAACGGAGAGGGGAAACACGATGATTGTGCCAATTACATAGTTTCTTTCTTAATTTATTTCGATTGCAAAACACTTGGTCAAAATTCCCGATTGTCTATATCTTCTTATGGAGACGTTAACAAATGTTTTACAACTGTCTACCCGCACACACACAATGGAAGACAAAGGCCAGGCAACAGATCGTTTACTAAGGAAATCAACACATATTTATAGAGTTTAACGTACATATTATAGATTATTGTTAGCAAAAAAACACAGTCGTCTGATTGGTTGTTTCTCACAGAAAGTTAACCTTGCATCTCTTTGCGGCCGTTTTTTGAATGTCAAATGATTTATATGTTAACTGTATCCGCCTACGCCAGGCCTTCGTTCTTATTTTTCTCACGACCAATATTGGGGACATAAACAATGACGTAAATTACTGTCCACCAATTCTCGCTAACAGCCAGCTCTCCCCACATAATGAGTTGATACAAGATGCATGTGTCATCCAGTGGTAGAGACATTACCACTGAGTTATTTGACCTCATGACTGACTGACTGACTCACATTCTCCAATTCAAATCTCATTACAGAATGAGTAATATTGAGTTTGGCAGTCGAGTGTTAGATAAGGTGGGAAAGTTAATCGATAAGCCTGTAAAGCTACATCGATTGAAATGGCTAGGATATCTGTTGTGCATTCCCAGCTATCATCTTCCTCGACGGTTAATGTTAGCTGGCTTAAGGTCAGATTATAAAAAAGAGATAGTGGTGATCAAACTGAAACTTGTAATCAGTTCGTGAAATCCTTGACGGTTATTTTGAGCCATATAGGGAGTCGAAGGCCGATCAAACAGGCCATATACACTAGCCAGTAGCCCTATTCTCAGCGGTTTCATTGATTTTTAGGTCAAGAAAGTCTCATTTGATTTAAAGTGACTAAAATCTTTATTGTGGAATCTTATTTAAAACAAAGCATACGTTTCCTGCATAAACTTTGTTTAAAACCACTGAAACTAGGAAATACCTGACTGCTGTTTCGCCCTAGTCTAGAACTTTCCGACAGTAGACAAACGTCGAAGTTCAAACCCAGGTCCTTCATTTCCCAAGGCAACCTGGTAGACCATTCAGTCACTGGAAGCAAATCCAACAGCCAGCTCATGAATTCCAGTTTCTACCAATTAGTGATTTTAGCGTGATCAGCACTCTTGGAAATTAATATAATACTATCTGTGACTGGCTACAGGAAGAAGTTGACGTGTGTTCTAGTAAGATATCGTGGTCAGTGGGATCCACCAAGTCACAAGTGTGGGAACAAATGCGCACCGATGATATTGGCTACAGGTATCGTTAAAATCGCAAAATGGTAGAAGTTGGGATTCATAATTTGGCCATTGGATTGAATCTTAGCGGCTGAATGATATACGATCTTTCCGGGGGCTTGTATCGCTGTAAAGTCTCCAACAGAGACAAAACAGTCGCCCAGTATTCCTTCAAACAGATCAAATTCCCAATAAACTGACTCTTGAAAACTTGTTTAAAACGTTATCATTCTACTTATAAGTAGTTAAACAGTAATCACAAAAATGATGTTGAAACTACATGCCTGAGTAAAGTTATCAGTGTCTGTAGTCTATCTATCAAATGGCGGTCAGAAACAACCTCATCACCGATGGACAGCTTGTTCATCTCATCCTTATTCAGAATGATTACAGGTGACACAATAGGACTATAATTAGTGTCTAATGTGATAATACGATATTCAGTTACCATTCAATTGGGTTTATCCCGAGAATGTTACAGTCATACGACGTGGGTGCCAAACTTCTCTTTCTTTAGTGTACTTTAAATGGATGTTAGATGGGTGGAGACGGCCAACAGGAAGTCTTGATTAGGCTAAGACTCCAAACTTACCATCAACATTCAGAAATGTCTGTTTGTAAGCTTGAAAAGCATGATTTCCACGTGGTGATTTTGAACGCCTCTTCGCCTGGTTTTGCGGTCAAAAAGATCACTATTTAGCCATTCGGGTTGACTAACCTCAAAATTTTCCCAAGTGTTTTTCAAGAAATTAATTTTAAAATTCTCCTTTTTTACTATTTCAGATCAAATATCTCTAACATTATCGGCTCAGACTCTGACTGTTATTATAAACCAACAAGAAGATGGGCATCTGTCGATCAATCTCCAACAAGCCTAAATAATTTTGACAGTATAGACTATCGACTCTATCCCGGTGGTACAAATATCCGTGACACTGGCGGTGCGGATTATATAAACACCTTTCGAGAATCTCACTTACAAACATCAAATCTAGACGGACGCTATGGAATAGATGATATGACTTCCTTACCAAATTATTATTCTAATCCATTGCATCATTCCAATTCTCAGAGTCATTCTCGTCCCCAGCCTTTTCGACATTCATCAATCAGTAATACTGGACATCATAGTGATTTACTCACTGAGAATGGATTTGCTACAATTCCAAGAAATTTCTACCTGTCTAATCGTTACAATATGCATTGGAATGGTATAAAACAGCCGACATCGTGTTGTTATGTACCAACATTGAAACCACTATCATTATTAGATACTGGAAATTATGGTGAAGGCTTTGAAAAGAATTCTAATGACCCTGTAATGAATACCTTTAATCCATCTCATAATTCAAACAATGCATACAATGAACACTCGACATTTGGTGTCAATATGGTGACCACTATGAATAATGGTAATATCAATACTACTTCTATTACTACGAATAATGGGAACAATATTAATGAACATTATTCCAAGTATATACAACCTTCGTATAATTGTCTATCCTCTTCACTTCATGATAGTTATATAAGTAATGGATATTTTGATAGATTAACGAGATTAAACAATGATTGTACTAATCAAAATGACAATTATGCATTACGTAATCACAATGAGAATAATTACTCAACATATAAACCGGGAGTATTGAGTACCGTGAATGATTATCATAATAATAATAATAATAACAGAATTCGTATGAGTTCATCAACACTTCCAGCTACAATGTCATATTCATCAACATTACCACTTCCGCCAGCACCTCCTCCACCATTGAGTCAAGCCCTGCCACCACCTCCACCTTCACAATTCGCCGACATGACTGCTTTTTAAGTAGTAGTAGTAGTATTAGTCGTTGTAATAATAGTAGCATCTTCAAGGAGTTGTTTAAACTCCATGACAAAAGTCAACACAACGACACACATACACACACACACAATCGGTGGATATGGAACCTTATCCTCAATCGGTAACCGCATACCACTTACTGTCTATTTACCAGTAATATTATCTCTTTTTTTTCAACTCTTAAACACTCATATCTGCTTATACATATACATTTGTGTTCATATACTTTTAGCATTCCACTAGTCATCTGCATAAATCTTTATGCATACTTCACAGAATTATAGGGACAAACCAAGTACTGTGGTGTTATTTTATGACTTATTATGATGAATTTCATAGAAACGTATCTTTCTGAGGAGGCATCCGCGAATCAATCAGTTGGCTGTTGTATATTTGTGAATTGAACTTGAAAATAATGATTTATTCACTTTTTTGACAGTACAGAGCAAACCACTTGTGAAAAGGTTGCTTAAACTTTTCAACTTTCCTTTTTTTTTAGCTATTCATGGATTGTAGAAAAACAAGACTAAACATGTTTGTGTAATAAATATTTCATAACTGAAGGTGATAATTTTTATTTAATTTTCGGAGGGTCTAATGGTCAGATGGATGGATGGATGGATGGATGGGTCTAACTGCATCCCCGTTGAACACGATTGAAATGGACATCCATCCCTTCAAACTCTACAAAGGGATTGTTATAAGATGGTTAGAAGCCATCTGAAAGAAGTCTTGGAGCTGGGTTTTGTGCTTCTCACCACTCATCAGTCAGCAAGGCGTATCTGCAGTCTTGAAAGGACTCATCTCTCTTTTGAGATTCCAACCTGTGTCATCCAGTGCTGCAGTTGGAGAGATGTTACCAGTGAGGTTTTTGGGCTTACCAGTGACCTTGTGTGGAACTTTACCGGTTACTTTGATTGAACACTAGGTAGTAGCTAAAGTCATACATCTAGTCGTTTGTTTAGTGCAAGCAGAATTGTATCAGTCCAGAAAGATGTCATTCACTAAGCTATTGGTGTCTGTGGTACAAAGATGGTTCGGTGTTCGATTCCCTGTTCGACGCACTTCTTTACCTCCCTAAGCCAGTAATAAGACTGGTAAAGAGAGAAGGTTGGGCATGAAGGCTACTAATCCTATCCTGTAAAAATAAACACCCTCGCTACCGAAACTTCAAGCCTCTAGTTTGAACCCCTATGTTCCACTGTGAACGTGAAAGAATATGAAGAAGAAGAAGACTTAGCTATTGAAGGATGAAAGCCAACTCGTGGTCAGTTATACTGAACCAAAATGTTAAATTTCTGTCTGATAACCCATATTTAATGTACCAGCGGGATTTGATTCCATATTCCATGAGTTCATTTCACTGAACATATCTAGCGATATAGTACTGATAACGGGAGGATAAGAGAACTGCCACCTAAAAGAAGGAACATCACTGGTCTTATTTAAGACTTTTAGAATTTAGGCTTGAAATTAAGGTGGTGCATAAGCCTACTAACCTACTCAGTCTCAAAATTTTACCCACTTTATGACCAATCCAATTAGGATAAATAACATAATTTACCAAATACTATGTAATGACTGTGACGTCAACATTCATAGGTGAAACTAGCAAATCGGGGTCAGTTAAATCACACGAACATAAAGGTTTAGAGAGAGATTGAGTGATGGACTGTAATAAGTTGAATAACCAAGAATACACCTCGACTGTTAAAACTCATTCACTTGCATGTAATCAAACTATAGTGTGGGACAGGGCGACAGTATAATAAAATAATATAGTGACGTGAAGTGAAGAGAAAGGTTAATCACCGAATCTTTATTCATTGAATCAACACCAGACATGTGGAATCGAGATGATGCAATGCTTATGCCAGCCAGATATTTGGAAAATTTCAATAAACAGGAAGGGAAAAAGAGAAAATTAAATATGAGGCGAATTATGAAGCTATGTTAATAGATTAATATGACTATGAGCAGCAATAAATTTTGTTCCAAAAGTCATCCAGTTGTTAACACAGTGTGTTGCTGTGTGTTTCGTCAGATAAACTCGCCTAATATAGAATGATAGCCGGTCCAGTATAATTTCATTAATGTCGTGGATAGCTGTTCTGTTATTGTGTCAGAGTTTTTAAAAGGCAATACCACGTCGTTGAAATAGCGGTTAGGACGCTCACCGACTATGCACATGGTCTGGGGTTCGATCCCCGGCCGTAAATAATACTGGTAAAGAGGAAAGGTTGGGCATGAGGCTAGCAACCCCATCCTGTAAAATAAACACTGCTACAGAAACTTCAAGCCACTAGCTTGAAAGCACCCTATGCTCCACTGGGCGACGTGAAGGAAAAAACCCTCAGTTACTTTTTTATTATTGTTGTTCCCTTGGGTTCCTATTGGAACATAGGGCCTCAACTCCACGTCTCCACTTGCCACTTCTGTCTTCCTTCTGCTGTGCTTTTCACCTGCATCCATGTTAGTCCATACTCTTTCAACTCCTCTCTATTCACACAATCTCCTCCATGTCACCCTTGCACTGACGTCCCACTCGCCACTTGCTTCCCTTTCGGCCTGGCTCTACTCGAGCAATGTCACCCAACGGCCTCCTCAGCCGCGAGTGTCCAATCCATCCATCTCCACTTTCTCCTGCATAATTGTTGGGCAGCGATTGGTTCTTGTTTTGTTCGTTTGTTCCTTGTTGGTGATTCTTTCCGGCCGGGCCATCTGATCTTCAGTATAGGACGAAGACAGTTATTGATGAAGGTCTGCAACAGGCTGTTGAAAATATTCTTTGTGACCCGCCCGCCTGCCAAGTTTCTGATCCGTTCCGTATAGAAGAACTGACTTGACGTGTTTGTATCGAAAATCCTACCGAATTTTGTTGTTGATTCTGGCTGAGTGACGAAGATTTCCAGATTGGTTTCAGGTTGATGATGAATGTGTTTCTCGCCTTTGCGATTCTCTATTTGACATCCTCGTCCATTACTTGGAGAAGGGAAAATTAGAGTTTATCACAACTATTCGTTTGCTTATCAAGCGCTACTTCAATAACTGGGATTTAAAATATAAACTGACACTTCGAAACTACTATCATAATCGTTAGTATGTAGGTCGGAGGATGTTCATTTTCCGTGCTGACTTGATTCACCTTACCAGTGATAATTTCTTAAGACGACTATAGGAATTTTTTTTCCTCAGAATAGGTAGGCGGGTTGGGGAGTCATTCAACTCAGCATGATAAGTGAGGAGTTCACCTATACTACAAACTGAACCATCAATTGAAATCAAAGTCCCAAATCGAACGAAAATGGACAATAGTTATCCTATACGACCAACATAAGGAACTTAAAACAATCAATAAAGATTAATTAGGCAGAATTTAATCGATTGATTGAATCGTGGCAGGACTCTTCAGCTAAATACTTTACATACAAGGATGTATCCACTATTAGACTACTTAACTGATAAGTAAATATACTACATTGAATCAATCTTGCAAAACGACATGTGTGAATTCCTTTGTTCTGACAGTACAACTGAATATGTAATAAAGACTCTAAAGGATATTTCGTCTATGAATGCATATCCTGAAAGGTTCATCAATAAATACTCTAAAGAAATAAGCCCCAATAAAACTATCCAAACAGTTTTAAAGAAAGCTATATACATCCTGACGTAGAAGAAGCAGTCATATGGAGCTATCAAGAGAAATTATTATGCTGCTAAACGCGTCTTCCTTAACAACATCAAATGGGTAGGTACTTCAACATTCTAGGGAAAGACCCATCACTAATCCATGAAACTCTAAACTGCGTATATCAGTTTGAGTGTGTCTGTAGGAGCAAACACGTAGGTTGTACAGAAAGGCGATTGTCTGCTAGCTGTTGGGGAGCTGTGTGAAATTAGAGTTTGTAAATCCGGTCTTTTTGTACAGAAGGAAATGGTGGTCACACTGAATCTAACATGCTGGCAGGTTTTACTTATTGCATGTCATTATTATTAATAATTTTATTCTAACTCTTATGATTACTATTCCTGATTCCTTTAAAACCGCCATTTTTCAGTACTACAATTTTAACTCGCTTTAACATAATTATTATTATTATTAACATTACTCTTATTATCAAGTTTCACTCAGTTCACAATTTTTAATATATTCAGGTTCATTGTCTGATAAGTAATTGTTTATTTAGGTGATGTAATTGAACCGTAATGCATTTTACCTTAGGAACAAGCTGGCAGAAGAAGCATCCACAGAAGATAGGACTTCAGATGAACATAGAGAAAACAGAGGTGATGAAGATTCCTGGCCAACACCAACAGCCACAGCGACAACAACAGACAACAATCAGCCAGCATAAATGGGAGGAACCTAAAAGAAACAACCTCCTTCACCTACCTACCTACCAACCTGGGAAGCATCGTTTCAACTACAGGCTGACGGGACTGACGAGGATATCAAAGCCAGAATCGGAAAAGCAAGACAAGCTTTCATTACTCTCAAGTCTGTGTGCAGATCAACAGCACTCTGCATGAAAATCAGAATAAGATCCGGATTTTCAACTCTAATGTGAAGTTAGTGCTACAATGCGGATCAGAGACCTGGCGCGTCATAAAGAGCATCTCAAACAAATTAAAGACCTACATTAACAGTTGTCTTCGCTCAATGCCACTCAAGATCAAATGGTTGGCCAGAAAAGATCAGCAACAGGGATCTCTGGCAATCAGCGAATCAACCAGGAACCGATTGTGAAACAAATAGGCAGGAAGAAGTGGAGACGGATTGGCTGGCCTTACGATGAGGAAACCATCAAGTGACATCACTAGACAAGCCATCGCTCGAGTGGAACCCGAAAGAGAAGCGGCGAATTGGTCATCGACGGGTGACTTGGAGGAGGTGATGTGAAGAGGAGATGAAAGCATGTGGGCAGACTTGGAACGGGGTGAAAAAGTTGGCAGAAAACCGAAGGCAATGGAGGTGTGCAGCT